AAAAAAAAACTATACGCGTTGCATTTTATGACTCGTGACCCGGCCAAGGCCCTGGTCACGAGTAATTATGATGGATTTTTCGACATATTTCAATATCTTTTACTGAAATATACTAAAAATAAATACTCTGAACATGCCTAAGGTAAAATCTTCCATCTTAGGTGAATTAGTTTTGAGTTTCGTCGCTAATACGAAACGCGTGACAGTCTTGCGTGACAGACTTTGGGCCCTTATAACTTGAGCACAAAATAATGAAATGACTTCAAACTTTTTCATGGTAGTCATCTCAATAGTTTCTAAAACATATTTTGAAATTATTATTATAAGATGTTTATTTCTGGTTTTGGTTTTACGATGACGTCACATGAAAACGAAGAATTGGCTGTGAATAAACGGTCACGCATTCTTGCTTTCACTAGCAAAAAATATAATATTCTACGCCATGATATACATTCAAAAATAGCTAGTCCGACTTCACGCTCCAAGAGCGTCTAGTTATTTTGAAGTCCGGAAGACTAACAGCGGTAAGTTCAAACCGCCTCTGCCGCCTCGCTAACCGCCTCGGGTCCCCAAAGGTTCTTCAAACGCCATAAATAAGGATCTGGCAAGACATCAGGCATTATAGACGGAATAGATGCAAGATTTAAAAGTGATCTTAGGTAAGCTATAAATCCAGACGGTTTCATGCGTGTCGAAGCCGAGTAAATATTAAAGACAGTGTAGCTGGACAATTCGGGTTTATAACCGGCGAAGATTATATTTCAAATTATTTACTCTAAACTGTTCTAAAATTTGGACTGATATGTATGCTCAATACTCCTGCAATTTGAGTTTTAAGTTTGCACTGTGTTGGCCTCAAGATCAAGTATACATAATAATATATCTTTTATATCATTGATAGCTCTTGGAAACGCTAAAAAATTGATTTTAAAACCCGCCCAAACCTAAGAATACCCCAATGGAGACTAACACAGAGCATTTTAGGAATTCAAAACTGTAGTATTCTGGATCTATAGCCAAAGAAATACTTTTACGTACATTTACAATGACATGCAATCAGCTAAACGATATCTTATAGGTCATCGCACTCATTACATATCCTCATCCCAACCTCATTGGCTAAAATCACGCAACGCTCGCATTAAAGCTTATTCCGCAGGCTAAAACGCGGGATATAATATAACTTCAAATTCCACTTTCTACCAATGAACACCACTGAACTCCAAATGGAAAAACGAGATAGGTGGTGAGAAATCAAAATCGTTTGAAAATGCCCTCTATACCCCCTTTGGCTAAAAATAAAACTCTCGAATTAAAAACGTTTTTAGCTAGAATTTAGAAAAAAAGGGTACCCAAATTATAATTGACAGGTATATAGATAGCAAAATGCGCAAAGTAAGATAAAAAATTGCGGAAAAAAGGTGTTAATTCTAGACACAACGAAATTGGTCGAAAATGATCACAATCAATATCAACAGTTGATCGATAGTTAGCGGGTTTTCACTTTTCAAYATTACTGCACCGACTCAGTGTCAGTATCAAAAGACGTTTTTGACTTTAGCGTATACGCTTCTGATGTGGATCTCGTGACCGCTTCGGATACATCGTGGGTATCGTCGTCACTATCGAAGTACGATCGGCTTTCCGTCGAGTCTTCCGAAGATTCAACGACTATATTYARTTCCTCRCTTTTGACGTAATAAATCAATTCGTCCTCTTCTCGATAAAAGTGGTTCATATCGACATCACCCAGAATTCCTTTCATTCCTTGTGGGCCTTTTGGAGTTTTGGTCGAAACATGCTTCTTTTCTCCAGATTTTGTATCGAATGAGAATCCCTCAGTACCCGGCATACCGGGCATATACGAGAAAGTCATACGTGTAGTTCTATTGTATAGTTCAGCAGGGGTTTGAGGCAGGGATCGTCCACGTACCAGTTCCAGTGCKCGCTCATACGCGGTCYTATATGGCAGCATACAATCGTGGTTTACGTAAGGCCCAACGTTGTGTTGTGGTTTCTTGACTTTACYACTTTCAGCAACCTTCTTGCGTAATTCAGAGGTCTTTAGTAGTCGTGGGAGTTTCTTGTAGTACTCTTCTGATCGCTTCTTTAATGAGCTTGTTGGTRAATGTTTGCAGTATTTATTTTTGTGCACTCCTCCTAGTTCCGCAATCCCATCGTCCATTTCGTGATTTTCAAGCTCATCTTCGTCTCCAGTCCAATCACTGGAATATGACGYGTCGTTGTCGGATAAAACTTGCGATCCTTCATAACCAGATTTACTTGAMGCTTTCTTCCTTCGCTCGCGAGTCCGACGGGAACGTTCAAATGACTTATCACCAGATAAATTACCATTATTTCTTCCCTCCCCTCCCCCATACACGTTTTCATTGCCATCCTCCCCCAGAAGATCATCAAGTGCGTCAGGCGAAAAATCGATGTCAATATCATTCAAATCGAGGCCCTCTAACTTCCGAGCGGCCCGAGCTGCCCGCCTTCTCTCCCTGTTCAATCTCCCCATGGTTTGTTCACTCTCAAGCTCTGTGACATCTCCAAACTTGACTTTGCTTTCTTTAGAAGTCTTGCTATAGCTTGTATCGTCATCGTTAGTCGGAGTCATAATCACTCGGCCTTGGGGTTCATTGTATTCTGGCTTWTCTCCCTCTTTAAATTCATAATTGTAGTCCTTGTACTGAGTGTCGAAGCTCAGTCCTTTGATGTTCTTCGACGTTTTGCTGATAAGGTTTTGGAAGTCGTACAAGTGACTCGTAGTGCCAAACTTGTCGTCGAAGTCGAAAATAAGTGGGCTTTCCAGCATTTTTCGCTTTTCCTCTTCTTCTTGTTCTTTGAGTTTCATGAGCAGGCGATCGTTATACACTCGTTCGCTCATTAGATAGTAACTTTCGCGTCTACGAGGAGCCCAACGAACCTGTTACAAACAGGAGAAATGAATATTCACACTTTGAAAATGTTTAACAAGTTTGGGGAACTTATGCTTGCATGAGAAAGTCTTGCTGATCCGATTTATTGGAGGATACTTCTTTTGTTTAGTTGGTTCCTCGCAGACAAGACAGACGAGTTTATCACTATCTATTAGGCCTCACCCTTCACTCACCAAATAAGGGACTTGATGTTCGCCTTGTTGCCTAGCACCAAAAAGTAACGCCGCGCACCTGCGCTGGTGATGTCTCATCTCGTTCAGGTTGTACCGTTTRTTGACGAGACTCTTTGATCCACTCATTGATTGWTTGTGKCCAGCTTGTTGTTTTGTAGTTGCCATGATCTCGTCCAATCGATTACGCTCGCGTATGATGTCATCTTCGATTTTCTATATGGAACAAGACAGACTTCAAGATTTAGTGAATTTCAATAAAAGGAACAGTAGTATTAGCATACATTGTTAGCATATTTCCAGGTATATATTGGCTATTAAAAGCTGTTGCTTAAGGCAAAGCCGCAGTAAACTTTCTCTTGAAATTCTGACAGAGCAGTAAAGAAGAAGAAGAGGAAGAAGAAGAAGAAGAAGAGGAGGAAGAAGAAGAAGCTAGAATATAGGGTGTACATATGACATCATATAAAATTTTAAGGACTATAATTTACTTAAATCACTTGCCTTACGATAGTGGTCACCATACGTCATCTGAGCATACTTGACGTCATAGGAACGGGCCAGGTTACCTAGCATGTGGTACCCGGCRGAAAAATGACGACCCTTCAAAACAAAATGGAATACTTTGTTATTGTTACTAAAGGACTGAGTATGATGCTTCAGGTTATGTCTAAGACGATTTGTGTAAAGTGTTACTTTTAAGTAACGCTTAAAAGCGTTTCTCATTTCATATGCACGACAGTTTTCACCATTGAATTGCTTCAGTGCAAAGTAGAAACCASTCACTAAATAGCCATTTATTGACAAGCGTTTTTTGTGGGTGCGGAAGGACATRTAAACGCCGGCAAAACGAATATCTTTTACGTGTAGACTAAGCTGTCAAAATAGGCCATACCGTGAGTTAACGAAAAGGCCTTCTATTTTCCTTTTGATTTCGAATCTCGCAGTTTACATCTAAGAACTGTGTTAATTTTTGAGCATGCACGTACTAATCGCTTGGAAGTATATATGGGATAAGGGCTTAAAAGGTTTGATAGAGCTTAAACGCAAACTACACAGTTGGCCCAACTGAGTTGGAAAAAATCCAAAGAAGTGGATTTGAATTAAGTAAGTTTAAGGTAATAAGCGAGGAGAGAACAAATCTTCAAACAGCTTACTTGTGACTTCATTGCAATAATTCTATTTCATGCCAATCAAATGGTACTCGTTGGTGTATAATTAGAACCTATTACCAACACATTTGAAGAAAATATCTGGATTCATTGATTGTTCTGCTATGAAAATCGCCAAACTCACAAATGTTTTTAACCTCAAATTCTTCATTCTTAAGTTCATCAATTAAGATCGAAATCAGAGTGTTTTAAACACTTTATTAATTGGTCGTTAAGCGATGATAACTGTACACAAATTGTTTATTATCTCAACTCACCGGCTGTTTCCTCGGCACGGGAACAAGGTCTTCGAGTYCTATTCCTTCKGTMCGCCACCTCATTTTATCGAAAGTATTTACTTTAAGTCATTRYGGAATCRTGGTGAATATCAGTAACCTTTCTGGCACGAGCTTAAAGCCATTTTTGTTGACTGCATTGCAAACTTGTCGTCAATTAAAGTGATTTCATTAAATTAAGCTTGTGGCCCCAAGAGACTTCCACATACACCAATAGGCCAAATGAGCCATTATGAAGGGATTATTGGCTGTTGYTYGTATTTAAGGACCTTTTCTTCATCGGTTTTCAAGTTCTCGAGTCAATCAAACAGTCGAATWTGACTCTRAAAACAGAGTGAAAATGTCGAATTCGTAGAGGAACGGTTGAAAAGCTCCAATTYAATCGATGATGTGTCGAGTGTCTTGGCCCTCCTGTTGATAAAGTTGCTGTTTTACATGACCTTGACAAACAGGGGAGTTTTTTTGTTCTCGAAGTTTCAGAGAATTTTCTAAAATTCGTTGGTGAAAATGAAATGGTTTKCGCATTCTGTCCATGTCAACATCCAGAAAAATAGGACTGCTCGGTTATCGATGGCGCGCACATTTTGGATTTACCGTGCCCTTTTTGGATTGAAAAGGTGTAGTTTTCACATGAAGACAGTGCGTTTTTGGCATCTCTTTATGTATCAACACATAAGTTTTTAGGGAATTTTCAACGCTTACTTGAAAGTCGATGTCGGTGATAGTTGAGAAGTAAAAGGAGGAGTAGAAAGCTTGTAAAAAGCATTATATGAAGGCTAGCATTTTAGAAAATATAAGAGAGTAAAAAGGATTTGCAAATGTAAAGATGAAACAAATGAAAAACAAATTATTAAAAACCAAATTGTAGAAAGTGAAAACATGATAGCGTAAAGAAAGGAAAAGCATGGAAGAAATGACAAAAGAAATGACGCGTTGTTCAAGATCAAACAACCATGACCTTTTCTGTACATCCATCCATGCAGATAATGTATGCACCAACTGAAGATCTTATGCTGGGCCAAACGGCGCTCGAAGCTTAATTATAACCATTTTACAACTTAAAGTGGGCGGTGGAATCCTAGCTTGGGATACRAATGGCGAGCATTTGAACAACCAGGTCCATGGGAGATTCATATATGCCATAAATTCGACCTGCCGAAACACTTTGAAACCATCGCAAGACTGTTCACGAACAGTTATAAACTACGCGCCAAGAAGATTCTTTTCCACAAGATTGCTCACTAAAAGAACTGGAATTCAAACTCATACATGTCATTTATAATTCCRAATTCGGTTGAAGAACACAGTCTACTTTAGMAACTTTCAATTTGGGAAGATTTKGTAGCCAAATTTGCATCTTTCCTTTTGTTTAGTCGAGAAAATCGGTTTTGGAAASCGACATTCAGCGAACTGAAGCGTGAAGTTGGAGATGTTTTGAAAACTTCAAGATTTTWATGCTGTCAAATAATTCACACAGGAGATAAACTMTAGACTGAGAATAATACAATGRCGACCACAACAATATTTCCGACAACATTTGCAAATAGCACCGCACCTACAAATTCCACACACGGTGAGTATTTAACGATTTGCTTCAGTAGAACAAGCCATAAAATCTCCATATTAATGCAAATTCAATTAATTGACTTTTATACTTATTAAAACTTTACTCGTTTTTAATAACTGTTCTTACAAACCGTTGATGCTCTTTCCTCACCATGGCGACTTCAAAGCTAGTCTGATGGACAGTCGGTCAATATTTGAAAAGGATTTCTCAACACAAATCAAAGCTTGTTTGTGTCATTTTCACCTGCAARATACAAAACGAATTCTGTGTTTTGACATCGTATATCTCAATAATTTTACCTGAAAATACATCGTAAGATAATTAGGATTGTGGTTGGTAAGAAGGTGAGATTTCACTATTTGTTTACTGCAAAGTGAGGATTCGTCCACATTATAGTAAATTTTCGTGCTGTTTTCGTATTTTTTTTTTCTTGTTTGACAGGTAAAAAACTATACAATGTATGTGGATGAATCCAGAATAAATGGACAATATAATTTCAATG